TCAAAGAATTGTCAATATGACAACTTGAAATACCTAGCAATTTTTATCATAATTTTAATTGTAGATCTTAATTATTTTCTAAGAAAGGTAACTACTGTTATTTTTATCTGAAGGAAGGGGAAATGGAGAGGTGTGATAATGTGCTATAAAGGAGCCAGGAATAATTTGAAGAACTTGTCTCATCTTTGCTCCCTTAAGTAGCATGTGTTTCTGTGGCTTATTTAGAAATAGGTCTAGCTGCAAAGTTCAACTCCAGACTCTGTCCTTCTCTAGTGGTAGAGGGTATTTACATCTGGAGCTCTAATTTTAAACCTATACTGTGTTATAAATTACTCACTGGCAGCCAGGCTAACTTCCTACTGTTCACACAGACGCAAGCCGTCACTACAAGTAGCCCAGCTTGCACTGATATGAAGCAGGGCAGGCCCTCAGGAAAACAGCAGCACAGGTAAAAGGAACTGACCACAAGGCAGCGTGCAAGTTGTGTGGATGGGAGAATGGCGTATACACTGTTCTGTGGTTATTACTGGTCCCAAAATAATGATTTATAAAGTGTCTGACAGTGTTTGACAAATCAGATGAATGGGACTTGCTTAACGCAAACTGGAAAATAGCTTTCAGCTACTGCCAAAACCCATGGAAAGGGTAACTCATGCTTTGTAGATCGTTAGGACACTTGGGACCTACTGGAGTGTACTGCGAAAGGCATTACTCAAAGTTCAGATTGAAAAATTTCTTCAGAAACAGCCAACAACTTTGTAGGGGTAATGCAAGCATGAAAATCATCATTCCTAGTACTGCCTTGGGATGAGTACGTGCCAAAGGAAATGGGGGAAGAGAAACTTTCCATGCTGGAAGATGAGACTCTGCTCCTGTGCTCTGTAAGTAGGAGAGCAGCCATCAAACTGATGAACAGTCGTTCCTCCTGAACTGGCAGCTATTCCAGGCAGCATACATAAAACTCCAGAAGGCTTTATTTTATAAATATACGCAAGTAGAAAGGAGGAAGTCCATAACTGATAACAATCTAGACAGTGGAATGATACAGATTCTGTGTGATGGAAGATGCAGGAAAAACCATGATGGAAGTGGAGGAGTAGGATTTCTTCCAACAGAAATGGGAGAAATTCCTTAAACATGCATTTACATAGTCCATAAAAAGTCTAAAGAAGGAAAAGGGCAAACTGCTTGTGCTTTAATCCATAAGGGAAGCCCACGGTATGGGTTTCAGATTGGCTTTTGTCTCTTCCCTGTTGTTTCCTCATCAAGTAAGAGGGATCACAGGCATCTGGAGGCAGGCATTGGTGCCGCTCTCTGAGAAGTAACAGATGAAAGTGCAGCTTGTTGACTTCCCTAGGATTTGGGTATGAGACGGCAGTCGTTTCAGATATTGCCTGCTATCGCTCAGGACTTTATCCATGCTTTTCACCTGCAATATGGAGCCTCTGTCTGAAGTTTTGCTGGGTTTGATTCTGGTGGTAGCTTCATCAGCGCAGAACGACGGTACCTGTGCAACCAACAAGTGGGTGGTATGTGCGCAGGACGGATCTGGGAGCTGCACCTGCACGCTGGTACGTTCAAATCGCAAGGTAGACTGTTCAACGCTGACTTCAGAATGCTTGCTGATGAAGGCAGAAATGATCCCCCTGAAGGAGAAGCGCTTCTGGGACCATCCCCATGGGCTGTTAGATAATGATGGCATTTACAATCCAGACTGCGAGAACAGTGGTATCTTCAAAGCCAGGCTGTGCAATCAAACCGATACTTGCTGGTGTGTGAACACTGCTGGAGTAAGAAGAACCAAAAAGGGTGACAAAAGTCTTGAGTTGCAGTGAACTGGTTAGAACACGCTGGATCTACATTGAACTGAAGCACAAAAAAAGGTCCAGTGCCTTTGATGTTCCCGACCTAGCAAATGCCCTGAAACATCTATTTGAGAGCTGATACAAACTGCACCCCAGGTACATCGCAGCCGTTAAGTATGATTCCCCAGTTATCCAAATTCGCCTGAACCAGAATGATTCTGAGAAATCTAGGTGTGATGTAGATATAGCTGATGTAGCCTATTACTTTGAAAAAGATGTAAAAGATGACTCCCTATTTCATTCTAACAGTACATTAACTATCTCTGTCAATAGAGATGCTCTGGATATTGAAAAAATAACAATTTACTATGTTGATGAAAAGCCACCAGAGTTTTGTATGAGACAACTGGTTGCTGGCATTAGTGCTGCGGTGACAGTGGTGATACTGACTGCTGACTTTGGTGTCACTGTGCTGGTCATTCTGAGGTGGCTGCGGATGAGAAAATATGAGAAAGTTGAGATTAAGGAAATGGGTGAAATAAAAGCACCAAGCTTACAGCTGCCCTGATCTGAAAAAAGAAAGGCATCTGAAAAAAGAAAGGCAACAACAGGAGGGGAAAAAAAAAAAGCACAAAATACAAGTAGCAAACAGACTCAGTGTATGTGGATGGATTTGGAGAGTCTTTTTCCTTTCTACAGGAATTTGTACAGTGATTGTTCTAAATTATTCCAGTTGAGTAAGAATGACTTTTTTGGGTTTGGGTATAAACGAATTTGAGAGTCAGTTACCTAAATATTTTAAATGAGTCCCAATTTAGAGGCTAAGAAAACTGTTGCAGCTGTCTATTTAGCATGATGTAGAATGCTTCCACTAGTACTGCAGGCCTGGTTCAGCTTGCTTAAATACTCTTTGAGTGGTTCTTGGTATAGCTGCTACTTGGAATTCAAATACTTGCCTTGGCATAATTGTGTTATATAGCTGCTTTTCTATTGGTAAAGGCTTTTTTTAAAGATGTGTTTGTTTTTTTTTTTTAAAGTTGCTGGAACTTTTAAAATAAACAAATAATTTAATAAATATTTCTAAATAACCAAATAAAGTTTTGATAAGATACTCTATAGCACCAGAGGCTTTTATGCAGAGTTCTTTGTTAGGAAACATTCCTATGGTCGCTTCCAGGTGCAGAGATCCCAAGTTTCCGAGTTTGTATTCAGGCAGCACAGTGAGCTATTCCCACTTCTGCTCTTTAACAAGGGTCTGACACTCCTAGTCAGCAAACATCCCTTGATCCCACTGCAAGTGTAAGTTAACCTTGGTGTTCTGCCCAAATTCAAGCTCTGGTAATAGCTGTCTGTCTACCTGAATTCCCCTTGCAATTTTAACAAGAGGAGATATTTTTCAGTGTTGTATAGCTTCACAGAAATACTACACAATGCTTCAGGACAGCTGAAAAAGAGCTTTATTCTAGGAGAGCTGCAGGGGGAATTTAGGAGCAGAGTGTAATTACTGAAGTTGGAATTTGGCCAAGACACTAGAACTTGACTTCCTTGCTACCTACTCGTCTGCTGCATTCCTTGTTTGGGAGGTCATATCCACCATGAAGGACATTTTAAAGAAACTAATGCTAGTTGTTAAATGTTGAAACATTGGCAGTTATATTCTCCATACTGTGTATGGAAGTCTTGAAGTCCCATCAGTCTAATCTGCTTACGTTCAAAATGAGACCGCTACACATAGGCACTGCAGCAGGGTCAGCTCTTTTATTCTGTTAATTAGTTTCAATGTCACTAGTTTGTAATTCTAGTAACAGTCAGTAATGCGCTACTTGTAGGGCAAACTATTAAATATGCACTCTGATTCTACTGAAGGAATAGGATACTAGGAAAAAAGTGAAGATGCTTTGATTCTGTTTCTACCTTTGTTTCTAATAGAAGAGGAAGAGACTTGCTCTTTTGGGGGGAGCGGGAGGGTGTTTGTTTAATATTTTTTGGCTCAACATACACCATCTCCATTTAACCTCATTCTTGTTCACTTACCTGCTGGAAAAATTTGGGCTTTGGATACGTAGGATGGGGCAGATGCATCATGTTTTGCCAAAATTAGATTTTTATGCAATTGCATCAGCACTATTCAGACAGTCAAAAACTTTTGGAGCAGTGTCTGTAATTTATTGTGTGCCTTACGGCAACACGTCCAAGCTGGTTGTTTTTCAGTCGAGTATATACATTATTACTGATAAAAGATGAAGTGAGAATTTAATATCTAGGCTGAATTCTCCCAAGTCATAGGAAAATTCAGAACTTAGCCTAACTCCACACAGTTTTGCAATTAGGCTTTTATAAAATGGATTAAATTAAAAATCTAGAGCTGAGTAGCCCTTAGTGCTGAAGAAGGAAAATTTTCATTCTGATCCTACACAAGTACATTGCTTAACCACTTTCTTAACTTACGCAGAACTGATAAAGGCTATGTGTTTGAGAGGTTGGTGCTGTCCTTCCATCAGAGAAGATCATGAGATGTGCCATCTTTTCTGGGGATCTACTGTGGCTTTCAGCATTCTTTTAAAATCACTGCATTTTTCTCATTTCTGTCATAAGAAAAAAATTGTTTTAAAGGTGAATGATGAGATTTTATATTAAAATAGAATATAAACATGTAGGCATAATTTTGATTAGGAGAGGCAAAAGTGACTAACTGTTGAAAAAATCTTAACAAGTAACAGTCTCGGCATCTTTCTTTGGCTCCTGCTTTTCTTTTTAGAAGCTGAGATTGAGAAGAGGCTGTTGTGGTGCCATTCATATTTTTATTTATCATTAAAGGACTGCCCCATGAAAATCATGTGTTGTGGTCAGTTATTTCCTTGCTAGTCATCAAGCACGAGCAGACTGCATGCTGCTAGGGGACTGGAAACGCACTAGGGTCATTTAATAGGAATGATAAGGTATGTATCCGCAATTAATCAAAACAATGGGAAGATTAATTGCAGTGCAGAGCTCAGAGAACCTCTCTTTGGATTAGATCGTTCTACTTGAATAAAGCTATGTAAAGCTACTGTCAGATCTGGACTTTAATAAACCAAACATACCCATTGCTCCCGCTAAGTACTCATTTCTCTCCTGCTGTTCCAGTCATACCACCTCTTGGGCTATATATTAATATCTTTTTTGCACATGGTAAATCAAGTATTTTACTGTAACAGTCCATGATGTTCAGCTTGTTTGACTTTCTGTCCACTGCTGATGTTCTCACTGAAAAGGATAAAATGAACTCGTCAGCTTTAAATTTTGCAAAATTAAAATGCTTTTTATTATTCATTCTAAATTAGAAATTTCTAGTTATCCTTTTCCTGATTACATCATCCTGTTTTAATGGCATGTTTGTTCGTTGTATTTAAGTAAGTAGGCTTTATACTCTTTGCAGTGGGTTCTGTGGGTACAGCCAGCATGGTGATAGCGATGGTGGTTTTATGTTCTAGGCGGCACTGGCTGACAGCTTTTAAGTAGTGCCCTGAACAACATGATTAACATCAATCTTGTATCAGTTTCTGTGCGGTCTGCTCAGGCATAAATGTATTCAGGGGATTGTTTTGTTTTGGAACACTGTTTTAATACTCTGTATGTATAAATATGCATCTATCTGTGGGTAGATACAGAAATAAACCCATAGCTGATATGAAAGAGTGCCTTTGTGCTATTACCTGCCTGTATTATACAACAGCGGGTATGCTTGCTTTAACGATGGTAGAGCTGTCTGTTGCCTAAATTATGTTCTGCCATTCCAACTGCTGAAGGGCTGCCTTAGAAAGCTCAAAATAACCACTGGCAGAGAAAAAAAATCCTGTCTCTGTGCTACGACTCTGAAGAGGATAGAGCTGCCCTTTCTGTACAGCGCTACCACCTTTGTGCAACTGCAGAAAGTGATTTTGGGCCTTTGCTTTTAACTTTTAGTTAAAACTTTTTTAACCACTCAAGATCTGAGGAAAGTGCCAGAAGCAATGCCAGCACTACAGCAAGGAAATAAAAGATAAGGATTCATGGAAGGATTAAAACCCTCTTAAACTCTGTTCCCTCTATTCCCTCTGGTAAAATCCATGCCTGTTTATATATGCAAGTATGTATTCTCCAACGCATTGACACAAAATCCCTGCATTAGTTTGCAAATGACTGGTGTGTGTATACACACGTTGGTTCCCACACCTATACTTAAAGACACACACATCAGTATTTATGTTAGAGCAGGCAAGCCCTAGGGAAAGCTTTGTGGCAGCAGATCCTACACTGCATTCAGCCAGCCTGCAGCTTGCTCTAGCTCTTATCAGTGGTAAAATAGCCCAAACCTGCTGCTCTTTTGGAACAACAATGAATCCTCTTCTTGTCCCATCTTCCCCCGATTAAGAATAATCTCTTTATGGATGTTTAGCCTGGGATTATGGCCAGATTAGGTTAACAATGTGAAACAAAACGCCTGCCACATAAATACACCCAACCCCTCTCTTCTTCTTTAGTTGGTAAAACGCCAGCATGTCTGTGATGTTAAGCACTTAATGACAACTAGAGACAAGATCCCCCCAATAGTCCTTAAAATGTTTAAACCTCGGGGAATCACTTTAGAAAAAACAAACCAATTTCTATTGCTTGCATATCGAAACCACTTTTTCAGAGAATAGTTAAAGAAGTAACAAATTGGCCCTTCTCCGCTTCCCCTTAATTGGACCAGTTAGTGCTATTAAACAGATAGTCTTCCTTGTGCAGGTATAATTATCATTTCCAAAGCATTTCTACTGATTTGCCTCAGGGTTTTAAGTACTGCAATTATCTCTTTTTATAATGCTAAAATTAATCTTAAGTCATTACGATTGCTATCAGAGCAGAAAAAATCAACTTCCAGAACTTTTACAATTATTATTCAGCAGCTCTAACAAAATTCCTTGTACCAGGATTTATCTAGTTAAAATTTCATACGCGCCAGGCAGCCTGACAAGATTCACATCTCATTTTCATGATGATCCCTGCTCCCTGAGGTATAACACTCTTACAGTCCTACTCCAGCACAAATCAAGCGCCACAGAAACAATTAGGGAGACTTTGTATTATCCAAATGAAAGACTGAATGAGAATGCATTTCTAATTTTCCACTGAGATTTTTACATGTGGGCCCAACAGTACTGGTGGCATATGCACCCAACCTTTTTCAGCTTTTTTTTTTTTAAATAAACATCTGTCCTTGTAAGGCTTCAAATGAGAAATCTCAGCATTTTTTCTAGTCTGGTTGGACCCAGAAAAGCTAAGTGGAACAACTAGAAAGTAATTGGATGTGGCTATGCTGTAGCCATGGTACTGTGCAGTGCAGACAACACACTCATTTTTAGCACAGGTCTGTTGAGTTCTTTCTTCTTCCTATCTTCATGTGCTCTTTTCTGTTGTTGGAAATAAGATAGCTTTATAATTGTCTCAATTCTGCTGAAGGACTTCAGCAAAATCTCTCAAGTATAGAAAGTTAATTAATGCTCCCTTTTTTCAATCTCTCCAAATAAATTTTTCATTTTAGAGAGCTAGTAGAAGAATTTTGTGATATTTACTATTTTCACTGATGTTTTTATGCGGGTCAGCTGCTTTAAAAGCAGTTTACAATTATGTGCAAGAATTAGAAGCTAGAAGAATAAAAGTTAAGTGATAGATTCTCAGAATTTCTGCCAGTTTTGCAACTACTAAGCATCCAAGTTGCCCTCTAAAGTGCAATGGTTGTCAGAGCTGGCAAGCTGAAAGCAATACATAATGCTGGAGTTCATTTTCATTACTTCATCTTAACGCCCTCAAAATCTAAAGTTCCTAAAATGTATTTAATCTGAATGTTTGTACATTTGGTTCCTTAACTCCCAGTATCTTGTCTATATTTCTCTTACCCCAGACAAGAAAAAATAGCTAATGCACTTAATTCTGGGTTGACTAGCATCCTAGGTCAGCAAGGTATACAACACTAGTGCAAGTCA